CCTTTCCCTCGCCCTTCCAAGGTCTATTGTAAATCCCGTTCGTCTCGTTTTCTCGCCTCACTCCTTGTTTGTTTGTTTGTTTTTTGTGCGTTTTTTTAATTTTGTTTAAATGTCGTTTTGTTATTTGTTCTGATGCGAGGGTCGGGTTAGAATCTCAAGTGTCTTTATTTTTATTTTATTTTATTTATTTATTTATTTATTTTTTAATATTTTTTGTTTTATTTTATCCTTTATTTGATTTTGTTACTTTTTTCTTTTTCTTTGTTTTCTTCTCATTTTTTTCTTTTTGGCGAATGTGGTTGTTGTCTCGCCTGTCACGATATGCTTGCAGGTGCCTTGTTATTTATGCAAGCACGAAAAGAAGCGGAGATTAGACGTTGCGAGATGACGATTGCGACTTGCCAGATCAGCTGGGCTTTGTGCGTTGTTGCTCTTGTTGCTGTTGCTTATTATTGTCGTTTTATCATCACCATCATCACCATCATCACCACCACCATCATCATCATCATCATCATCATCATCATCATCATCATCATCATCATCATCATCATCATCATCATCATCATCATCATCATCATCATCATCATCATCATCATCATCACCACCACCACCACCACCACCTTATTCATGATGGTAATGATCATGATTATAGGCCCAATCATTATCATAATCATAAAATCGTTATTAGTATCATTATCATTATCATTATGATAATCATAATCGTTATTGGTTTCATTATCATTATCATCATAATCATCATCATCATAATCATCATCATCATCATCATCATCATCATCATCATCATCATCATCATCAGCAGCAGCAGCAGCAGCAGCAGCAGCAACAACAACAGCATCGTAAACAACAACAACAACAATAATAATAATTACTACTACTACTACTACTACTACTACTACTACTACTACTACTACTACTACTACTACTACTACTACTACTCCACCTCCACCTCCACCTCCACCTCCACCTCCACCTCCACCTCCACCTCCACCTCCACCTCCACTCCACCTCCACCTCCACCTCCACCTCCACCTCCACCTCCTCCTACTCCTACTCCTACTCCTAGTATTATTTCCACCGTCACTATACAGCTATTCCTAATCTCCCTCTGGCACAAGACGCGGGCCAAGACGACGCCTTCATCTACTCAAGGTTACGTAACATCTGTCACGTGGAAAATTCCGGAAATCCGCGAGGCTGCGTTGTTGATACGTCACCTAGAGATGGTGTACTTGAGGTGGTGGTGATGATGGTGGGGGGGTGGCTCTGTTGGTGATGGTGATGATGGTGATGTTGGTGGTGGTGAAGATGATGTGAGAATGACGACGACGACTGTGATGGTGATGGCGGTGATCGTGATTGTGATTGTGGTGGGGATGATGTTTATAATGATGTTAAATCATGATTATGGTGTTGATTATAATGATACGGATGCAAGAAATGACGACCATGACACTGATAATAATGATGGTGATGTAATGATGAAGATGTGAGAAGACGATGGCGACTATGAAGACAACGATGACTGATTTTGATGGTAATGAGGATGATGACGATGACGAAGACGATGAAGTTTGTCGTAATCATTGTGTTGATTCTCATAATGGTGACGGGACAGAAAAGAACAGAAAGAGAGGAGGAGACGAGAATGTGATGATGAAAGACAAAAAAAAGGAAAAAAAGTGGCAGAACGAGAGTCAGAGGAATGGAGCTCAGAATCAGACCGTGTCGTCCTTCGTCGAGAAGAGGGAAAGAAGGAAAGATAGAGGGAGAAGGAAAGATAGAGGGAGAAGGAAAGAGAGAGGGAGAGGGAAAGAGAGAGGGAGAGGAGAAGAGAGAGAGGGAGAGGAGAAGAGAGAGAGGGAGAGGAGAAGAGAGAGAGGGAGAGGAGAAGAGAGAGAGGGAGAGGGGAAGAGAGAGGGAGAGGAAGAGAGAGAGAGAGGGGGGGAGAGAGAGAGGGGGGGGATAGAGAGGGGGGAGAGAGAGAGGGAGAGGGAAAGAGAGAGAGGGAGAGGGAAAGAGAAAGAGAAAGAGAGAGGGGGGGAAGAGAAAGAGAGAGAGGGAAAGGGAAAAGGAAAGAAAGAGAGGGAAAGGGAAAGAGAGAGAGGGAAAGGGAAAGAGAGAGAGGGAAAGGGAAAGAGAGAGAGGGAAAGGGAAAGAGAGAGAGGGAAAGGGAGAGAGAGAGAGGGAAAGGGAAAGAGAGAGAGGGAAAGGGAAAGGGAGAGAGAGAGAGGAAGAGGGAGAGGAAGAGGGAGAGGGAGAGGGAGAGGGAGAGGGAGAGGGAGAGGGAGAGGGAGAGGGAGAGGGAAGGGGAAAGAGGGAGAGGGGAAGAGAGACATAAATATAGAGATAAGGAGGGAGGGAGTGAGGGAAGAAACTTTAGATTGCAGTTCTTCCCTTCCTCTCTCCCTCCCCTTCCGCATTTGCCCCCCCCCCCACCTCATGCGGACACGCTTCCCTCCCTCCCCCCCACCCCCCCGTT